CACAGGGCAGTGGAGGCCTAAAGCGAAAAGGTTTTATAAAACCCAGCTGAAGGCCTAGGACTGGGGCGACGGCGTGCGTGCCCATAGGTTCACCACCACTGCTTTAGAGGTTACATTCTGTTTATATGGCTTTTCAACATGATCATTCTTGATTTTAAGGCCAAATTATGTGAAAGTACAATCAAAATAAGAATCAGTGATATGGAACACTAATAAAATACGTCTGATTCCAAGCTATTACATCCTTGATAGTATAAATTGCTCCTTCAAATCAGCTAAGTAGCTTTATAACTGACCAATTACAAAATATAAGACGGTGCTCATTTGCAACACACAATACTTTATTGACTGCTGTGCTATATGGAAAAATGTAGGAAAATATGATATAGCGAGAAAATCTGCCATTGTGGGTCAGATCAACCAGCAGATTGCATGTTGTTAAGACATGACTTTCATTATATTTAGAGTTCCCCAGTTGTTTCTGTTTTATTATTTTATTTGAATGAGTTTGAAGCGTCACCTGTTTCTACCTTGCTTTCCAATCAAATTTTAAACTATGTCCAAATGTAGCTTAATTTTGTAAAATAGATAGCAATGTCAAAGAAGAAAGACTTAACACAGATCGTCACACTTGAACTGTCAACATTTTGAGATAGGTTTTTCTTTTATTGTTATGATTTTTATTTATATTGTATATACATGTGTTTATTTATTTTGCTTTTCTGTGTTCTGGTCTATGACTAAGAATTCCAGAATATATTGCAGTTATATTTTGAGGGCAAGGCTTTTTGGAGCAAGGCAAGAATGAAGTGATAAAAATGTTCATTTTTCTTTTTGCTTGAGAAAAAGCTCTTTCATATCTTTAATGAGCTCTCATAGACAAAAACAAAGTCATTATCACTCCTGCAGTTTATTTTTACATTATTTCTGAAAAATACAAGGCTTCAACTTGTTTAATGTAATAATGGTGGCTTGAAATTAAGTCTGTATCTTCTCACAGTTCACCCAAAGTTACATATTTCTTGGAACAATTAAGTCTTTAATAGGAGAGGAAATGTGGATCTGTAAGTGACCCTTTCAACAATTCAGACACAGCAATTCATAGTTTTTAATTAGGTTCAACATGAGATGGAGACAGAATAGTTTGCATTTTTTTTCCTGCTGAGTGTCCTGAATAAACCTAAATAGGGTTTTTGCACTGTGCATGATTGTGGATTGTTTGGAAATGGTTTCTTTTTCTAACCAACTCTATCAATGTATGAAGCCAACTTTGGAAGCAAATGATAGGAGCAGGAAACAACAGATGTTTCAGAGAATGGAACAATTGTTCCATGTGGTCTTCTCTACTTCTAAACTAGTCAGCTACTGCAGTGTATGGTGGAAGTTGCTGAACCATTAACGGTGTTGCTGTGAGATTGGATTATGAATTCCCCTTAAAGCAGAATGGAAGCTGAGGTCAGTTCCACTGAATGTACCACAGCAAAAGCATTTACTTGTGGCCCTGATAAAGAGATCTCCAAAAGTAAGAGAATCTTTTAAGATTTTAACATTCAAACAAGTTCATACTGGGTCATTCAATTCTTATATACTCAACCCCCAAGCTTTTAAATATCAAGAAGAAAATCTAAAAATCTGCATGGAAAATAATTGTCAAACAATGCTGGTCCCGCAACATGGATTTAAGTTAGTTCTAGTATTATGGGCAGATTAGCTACCTAGTTAGTGCCTTTCATACAAACGGAAGCTCCCATGCATTCCTCAAGAGCAACACATCAAGGTTAAATATTTAATTAATAAACTTTTAATATAAACTGTGAATACAATTATACTATGTACTGTTAAAAATTAATTTGTCACATCATAAACTACAATCCAGTCATAACTTTTAGAGTAGACAATTCATCATCTGTTCTGTCATTGTCTCAGAGATATTTCCTTATCTAAACAGAAAAACAGAATGACTGGGGGCAAGCAAAAAACCAATGGGAGTAGGAGCAACTTCTGACTTCCTGTTGGCTTCCCCATTGACTTCCTTGTACGAAGCTGACAAGGAACAATGGAAATGATGATCATATGACTATGGCTGATAGCGGCATGGCAGAGGTGTGAAGCAGCCACAGCATTGCCAAATTTTAGTCCCATTGGAATCATGGGTCCCAGATTTTGGATGCATTCTTTAAGTTAGCCCATTTGAGGTATGTCAACTCAAAAATTATTGCCCTGTGATGCAAGGTTTTACCCAATTAAAGGTTACAAACAAATAAATATGAGAGTTCAGCGGTATGTAGATTTAGGGATCATATGTAACTTTTGTAACATGTAACATGTAGTCTGGGCGTACGTTGTGTTTACTTAGTCTAGTAAGATGCTCCCTTTATAGTTCTCTTTCAAATTCTGTTTTTTCTACTGTTAAAGATCTGAAGTCTCTAATAATTGCAAAATGTCCATTAATTTTTCTATTTCCCCATCCAAAAGTCATTTTGAAGAGGTAATTGTTAATTATATGTTGCAATCCACAGCTAACATCTGGTTGAGGCAATTAATTCATTTCAAGCTCATACCTTAAAATAAGAACAAGATGATATCTGTACCTGGTGTGAGCTTGCAAGTGTTCTTAACTGACCAGGAAGAAAGATTTTCTTAATAAAATAATTTTATAACTTTATAAAAATTCTAACCAATTCTAAGACATGATAATTCTTCACCATTTATTTGTTCAGGCTGAATTCATGCAAAATGAAAATGAAGAAATGTCGGCTCCTGTTTATCCCTACCTCATATGCCATGTTTATCCAAGATATCTCACTTTAAAGTCAAGTAACTCTATATTACTTCTTTTAAACTAGATTAATATTATGCTTCCATTTGCTTAAAGACTTGCTTTTTTTTCACCCACCACAACTTTCCTAAGAGAAAGGTTGGAGTGAAAGAGAGAGACTGGTCCAAAGTCACAAATCATCTGCTAGGCTTCCACAGTTGAGGGGAGATGATGCTCTATGGTTGACTACAACATCCAGGATAGAGATCTATGATGGCATCTACTTTGAATATGAATAATGCACTGAGATAAATAATAAAATGCAGCACACCAGCAGAGACTAAAAAAAGATGTCATACCTATTTCACTACCTCCGATTATTGTCTCAATGCGTTCAAGAAGAGATAACCTCAGTTGATGGCCTATTAATGTCACCAGTATACATATACACTAACATGAAGCTTTCATGGTCTGCTCTGCCATGCCCTTCCCAAAGCTCTGGCTTTTTTTTTTTTACATGAGGACTTTTACAAGTAATTGTAGCAGGATGTTTGTCATAAACACTGTCCACAGGACAGCTATATCCCTATCCTGGGATTTCTACACCCACAGCCTCTCACCCTGAGTTCTGGAATGGCTGGGTATAACTGTTCTTCCAGGAATTGTCTGGGGCAGATACTTAAGCTGTCACCATCTGATTTAAATGGGGAGATCCTCTGGGAAATTTCACCAGGAATTGGGATAAGGCAAAAGAGGCAATCCTGTTCTGAAAACTCTGTTTTTAAATACATGGCTATAGTTTCCCTTTTTAACATGTTACTGGGCCAACAGAGTATGTGGAACCTATGCAAACTCAACCCTGCAGCAGTAAAAAAATAAGATAAAGGATGTTTGTTTTAATAAATGGCACAAAATAAGTACTTGAGTAATTATTGCTGCATCAAATTATGGGAGGCCTAGATATACATAAAAAGCTGGCAATGATTAAAAAGACACAAAGGGGCGGAAAATTAGTGTTATGCAAAGATCCGTATTTATGGGAAATTGGTGCTATACAAAGATCCAGATTTAAAGATCAAAATTTGATTTGGAGCATGCATGCGCATATGGGTAGGACTTGTTGGAAATTCCTTACACCGAACATTTCTGCCCAGAATCATGTGACACCTGGGAAGGACAGCCAGATAGGGCCAAGAAAAGAGTTGCTTTAAGGCTTTTTGATCCAGGACTAGATAGATATCCCTGTATGGCCCACAACATTATTGTATCATCAGAAAATAAAACTCTCAGAAATCTCTAAAATGGGTCCAGAATTAAACTATATTTGGAGATGGCGGAGTAAACTTCCTTTCACTGGAATCAATAGAAAGGGATGAGAAATACTAAAATAAACAGGAGAAATTCTAAACTCCACAGAGCTTTGGATGCAAAAAGCAAGGTTCACAGATTCATCTGACCTCCATAAGCTATAAAGATCTGTTAGATATTGAGGTCCCTAGGTTAAATGTTTTGGTTATTTTTTTTTTTTGCACAGACATATGAGCAGAACTTTCTCAGTCACAGCATTTCATAAATAAAAGAAAATCAATCAAGGATAGCCAACTTCTGTCATTTTAAATTTAGTGAAGTACACGGGTTTTTTTCCTTCAAAAAAGTAGCAGTTGTCTTTGTGTGGTCTCTACACCAGTAAATTCCTCTGCCTTCAGGATTTTTCAAATGTATCTACCAGGTGGTTTACTATTAGAATTATAAAAGTAGATTTGCAATCTTCTTCAGCTTGTCCTAAAAAGAACAGATTATAAACAATGTTTTAAAGCAAATTAAGCAGCCATCAGCTTTTATTCTAATCATTTTGCAGACATACAAACTAAACTATTTGAGACTTGAGATGGCGCGACTTTCGAGACAAAACAAGATCATTTATCACCCTTGGAGGAGAAAAGGGATTTTACAGCCAACCTTAAAATCAATTCCAAATGAATGAGTTTCCTTCCAAACAGATTGAAAACTGGCAGACAGGTCACTTCTCTGTAAAGGAACTGTTTCTGTCTACCCAGCTGGAAGGGCACTAGGACCCGGCAAAGGAGCAGCCGGAAGAAAGCGAAGACAACAATTAGTTCCATTATAATGACAACTGCAAATGTTGGCAAGGGCAGTTTTTCACGGGCCTGCCTTCTTTCACTAAAGATTTTTAGTGCCTCCTGTTGCCAGCTTGGATGATTTGCTCAGTTGTTGCAACGGTCAACAGATTTGTTCTTGCCAAGGGAGGAAAAAAGCCAACCCACCAACAGTTTAAATTAAAAAAAAAAAATGAAACTAAAGCCCAACTCATCATCAGCCTATGCAGGAGCAGGAGGGGTTTCGGAGTGAACTGCATGCAGGAAATATCTCACATCCTGAGTTTCAGGATTCTTTCGCTCGCTCTGTAACTGTGCATTAATGGGGCTGGGACCAGCTGATCGAAGTTTGTCTTTCGGCCTGGATTAAGATGTCAGAGCGTCTCCATGCAGGACGACAACGCAACCCTCCTTTTCCTCATCCCCCGACCCAGATACTCTGTCTACTGCTCAGCCTCTTAATAACACCCTCATCCGGGTCTCGAGGTAAGTTGGCAACCTTCACGCATCGAGAGCTAACCTCAGCCCCCTTGTTCCCGCTCCAAGTGCCCGACCCAACCCCAAACGCCTCCGAGCAACGGCTTTCCCCCAAGTTTTGCCCGGGCGCCGTTGACGGAGCCAGCGTGTCCCGAGCGCCCACACGTTGCACGGAGTTTTTGCCCTGCCGAACAAAGAACTGTCCCTCTGTCTTTTTCTTGACTGTTGTCGCAAATTTGACTTTTCATTTCTCACTTTCGGGGAAAGGAGCAAGTTTGGGCGGGGAGCGGAGCGCTACTCCGCCGGGCCGGTTGCCGTGTCTGTCCCCAGTCTGGTTAGGATGGAGGTGGAGGAGACACGGCTACTGCCTTTCGACGTTCATCCAGCGCGAAGGACATTCCCGCTGGCTCGCCGTGGCCCGGACGCCTCCCACGCCCCCTCACGCCTTCTTTGGGCGAAATTCCCTTCAGCCGCCCGCCCGTAACTCTACTTTAGCTGGAGGGGGGGTTACTTCCTCACCACCCAACACCATCACCCTCCTCCACCACCCGCCCGGCCAGGATAGCAGCCGTAAAGAGGAAGTGGGTAATAGCAGGTGAAGGGTTGCTGCAAGTGTGAGAAATCTATCTGTTGAATTTCTGCCTGCTGTGGTAAATACGGGCAGTCCTCGACTTACAACAGTTCATTTGGCGATTGTTCAAAGTTACCAGGGCACTGAAAAAAGTGACATAGGACCGTTTTTTTTACAGTTACGACCTTTGCAGCATTCCCATGATCCTGTGTGGAATTCAGATGCTTGGCAACAGGTTCATATTTATGACGGTTGCCGTGTCTCAAGGTCATGTGATCTCCTTTTGTGACCTGACAGGCAAAATCAATGGACAAGCCACCGAACAACCAGCTTACTAACTTATCAACTTGTGCTTCACTTAACAATGGTGGCAAGAAAGGTTGTAAAAAGGGGCAAAACTCAATGAATGTTTCATTTAGCAACATAAATTTTGGGCTCAATTGTGGTCATAAGTCGAAAACTACCTGTAAATGATAAACCGTGTCATTCCCTGAGAGACACTGAGGCAGTAGCTGCATGGAGCATGGATACTGAGGCAGCTCTCTTAGTTTAATGGAGCATCGTGGTACCTGTTGACACATTCAGCTATAGATATCAGATTAATTATTCACATAATGCATTCTGCCTTGTTTCTCTTGGCATCGCTATCATTTGCAAATAGAAGTATATCTTTATCTTTTTTATTTCTATACATTCTTGTTAAGAATTACACTGCTGAAAAGAACACCACTGGGCTTTTTCCATGATCATGAAGTTATAATCCTCTTCCTGTTTCTATAGAAGTAGCTAGAATTTGTTTCTGAACATTCTTGGGTGGAGCAAGAATGTGGAAAATATTGACTTGGGTGCGTGTTTAAGCTGTTTTCCACTTTTTAAATGGAATAACACTGATATAATTGAGAATAATTAATATCCTACAGAATTTCAGAAATAGCCTATGATGAAATTCAGAAGAACTAGCCTCCCAAGTGAGATTGTGTAAGACAGGCGCCCACCCTATTGCCGGCAATGGCGAAAAAGCTCTGATACGTTGTGCAACGTCATGTGATGTCGCGAGTTTGACATGTCTGGTGTAAGATTACACTCTTCCCCCCCCTCCCCCAAAATAGGACTATATTTAAAATAATTACTTAGGGAACAAGCTCTTCCCCAGTATAAAGTATCCTGTTGTCCTTAAAGTAGGCTAAATTACTGAAAGAAGGAACTTTTTTTCTTATTTTTTATTCCAATAAGATAATCAGATCTAATTGTAAACCTGAAATAATGGATTTAGTGTGATCATCATCTACACCAGACATGTCAAACTCACGACATCACGTGATGTCGCGAGATGTATCGGAACAGTTTTGCCATTGCCGGCAATGGGGTGGGCACGGCTTACAGATGATGTGTCCGGCCTGCGGGCTGGCAGTTTGACACCCCTGATCTACACTTTTCTTTCTTTTCCTTGCAAGCCATATGATGCAATAACAAAATACGTTAGAAAAATGGGAACATTTTTATTCTGGTATGCCAAAATACTGCACTTATTGAAAGTTAAATCATGTGCATCTCAGTCTAGATTAATCAATAATTGAACTGGCTGTCTAAAATGCAAACACATTGGCAAATTGGCATACTCCTTTAATATAGAGAGAATAATATCAGATACGTTTTACTTATAAAATGTAAAACAATTATTTTTCAATTGCACAGCTATTTTCTATTTAATTGTTATGATCTCAAGGAATTCTTTGTCCAGGCTTCCTCCACAGCTGAATGCCTTTTTGCAGTATTTGTGTTTTGTGTTGAATAATCAGGACAAATAGAAGTTATGTTGCCCAGTCTGAAGTGAAAGAAGCTATCTCATTCCTAATGTTGCAGAATCAGCCAAGCATTTTTTCTTGGAGAACAAACATTCCTTTCTGCTAAGCTTCTTGGATCTAAGTCAGTTTAGGATTTTACATCCATCATAACAGCTGCATGCGATTGTTCCAACTCTCTTGTATGACACACACTAGATTTAATACTCTCTCTGTGGCAGAAGATTATTGGTCTGAAGGTGAAGGATTTAGAATATGTTGCTTGTTCAAGTCAATTCCCTTTTTATGGAGAATTAGAATGATGGTGAATTTCTCTTTTGCAAGAGTTCAAGCTATATATAGGTCATTGGCTTTCAGATAATAAAAAGACTATTTTTGTTTTGCTTAATGATTCTGGACCTATTGAACCCTGACCAATCTGTGTGAGGCAGAAATAATTAGTTGCAAGGTAGTAGTGAATTAGTACACGCTATTGAACAAAATCAACCTGTTTGCTGTTCTGGGCTAAGTTTTATGAAGGTAGTTTGGAGACGTTTAAATATAAGAAGATAGAAAATCAAAATAAATACAAGTCAATTTTAGTAAAATCTTATCTAGTCTACTATGACAATGAAGAAGCACTTTTCCTTTACAGTAATATCCTTACAAACAAATGTAGAATTTTCTAAGAACTTTAAAATACTGTCTTAATCATGATATAGAATTCTTAGTAGGCTTCATAGTAATTGTCCTGACTTTGGGATTTTGTTCCCAAACTATTCTCCCAGGCATTTGTAATATATTAGTTAATAGGAATTTTAGATCAGTTACGAGCTCCTGACATTAAGGAGTGCTTTTAACATTGTGTGGTTTTTGTTGTTGTTGTGCTGTACTCATTGAATTCCTGGTCTAGGCTTGATTTCAGTGATTTGCTGTGTTTTCATTTAGAATGATATGAATACTTCTGAGTTTTTAAATCCAATCTGAAACCTGGAACAGATACTACTAGTCAAACATATTCAGATGTATAGATATATTGAAAAAGTAGTACTTATGAACAATAATAATATTGGAAGACAGAACAAGCCACATTGGAAGTAACACGAAGTGAATATTGGGACTGGAGTGAAGCACTATCATCTCATGCGCATAAAGAAGGTTGGGTTTAACTTGTATATGTTATAAATTGTGCGAAAAATATATTGTGCTGATATGGGGAGAGAACTATGGAACAAAACCTTGCACAGGACTGTGAGCATAACTTAGTTTCAAACTAAGCCTGTTTTCATTTATCTCAAAGAGGTAAAAGTGGATACCACTGATATTATACCTCCCATTGAGGCCCATCTCTAACATCATTCTCCATACAACAAATAGGGAAGGAACCATTCTCTTTACTTACTGGTATGGAGAAAAACTACAATTTCTACAGGGCCAGAGCGAAAGCCAAAAACTCCCATTCTTGTAGTTTTCTTTGGGGAATGTCCAGTACAGCTGAATCTTTCCTGCTCTTGCATGATGGCCAACTTGAACACCTCCAACAATGAGTCAGCCTAAATTCAACATGCCTTTATCTTCCTCCCTAGAGAATGTCCTGGGTGGCCAAGTTCAAACTACTCTAGCTGGTGCTTAAAACTGAGCAATATTAGAACATCTCCAGACATTTTGACCAACTTGATTTTCTCCTTCTGAGGAAAGCTAGGGTAGAATTGCGCTAGCAGGCATTTTGGGTAGACCTTCTTGCCTGAAATCATGGCTGTAAAGATGGTTAGAAATTTAGGGTACAAGTGGTTTGACTTCTGCTATAGAATTAGAAATCCTTAAACAGCACTAAAGCATAAAGCAATGAATTATTATGGTCGGTCACATAGTCAGACAGACGTTTAGATTAGATTCTGCATTTTTGTCTACCTAGTCCCCAAAGCACCTGAAGGCAAGACAAGAAGCAATGGATGGAAACTAACCAAAGAGAGAAGCAACCTAGAACTAAAGAGAAATTTCCTGACAGTTAGAACAATTAATCAGTGGAACAACCTACCTCCAGAAGTGGTGAATGTTCCAACACTGGAAGTTTTTAAGAAGAGACTGGACAGCCATTTGTCTGAAATGGTATAGGGTTTCCTGCCTGAGCAGGGGGTTGAACTAGATGACCTCCAAGGTCCCTTCCATCATCATCATCATCATCATCATCATCATTATTAAATCCTTCCAAGGACCTGGGTTAGGCAAATGTTGTTTGATGGTGTTAAACAGGATGTGAACTATTCCAAGTAAAGCTGCCATTTTGAAAAATGAGATAATAAAAGCACAGTCTAGCACAATACCAACAAAGAGGAAAAACAACAGCTCTCAAAAGAAACCAGCATGGCTGCATAAAGAACTCTCTGACAAATTGAAAGATAAAAAGGACAAGTATAGAAAGTGGAAAGAGGGGAACATAACTAAGTCAGAATATCAGCAAATAGCCCGAGCCTGCAAAGATGAAGTGAAGAAAGCCAAGGCTCAAAATGAACTAAGGCTTGCGACCAAAGTCAAAAATAACAAAAAAAGCTTCTTTCAACATGTAAAAAACAAGAAAAAAGTGAAGGAAATGATTGGTCCATTAGTGGGTGGAAGTGGCAAGAAGGTGACAAGCAACAGGGAGAAAGCAGAACTAT